TCAAAGTAATGGGAACAATAAATAATTTAAACCCTTCCCATTGTCTACCTTCATATCTTGCATCAATGTTTTTCCTTTTATGAGTGAATGAAAGCGACAAGGGGTTGAGTAAGAGGGTCGGTGAGGATTCTTTGCGGCCCTTCGTGACTTAAGAGAAGGGTTGACGGGGCCGTTTTACCAACGCTCGACTTGAGCAATATAATATTTCACCTGATTAAAACTTTTTTACGTGAAAATATCTTTAAAAATTTGATTTTTGCAATTTTACAGCCTGAACGATTTAGTACAAATTTCGATCTACTTATTCTTAAGTCACTCGTGTCCTAAATTCCCTTCTTACTTAAGTCTGAATTAAATAATAATTTAAATTAAATGAGTATGTTTGGACATTCAGTTTATACTGCAGTTGCTCATCGTATAATATAAATAAGAAATAGGTCACAATTCAGCGTTTTATTCTACTGTGAACACATATCCAAATACTCGTATCGAGTTCATGTTTTATATAAAAAGTACATCAAGAAAAAATTTGAGCCTTCAGTATTTACTATTAAAAAAAATTATTTAGAATACATCGAATTTTAGATGTATGGATTAAATCGGCTGCTCGGTGGGATCGGGGCGCATGTGTGGAAATAAAATGGGGGCTCCAACTACATTTGTCCTTTGAGATGCGATTACAGCAGAAATAAGCTTATAAAATATCCTTATATGATGTTTAATTATGTTAAATATACAACATGTAACATAATTAACGCACTTTGAGAAAGTAGTTTGTTCAGTCATCATTTTTAATATAGGTAATTTTTTATCCCAAAAATAATTAAAACTACGTAAATTACAGTCACACTAAATCTGTACCGTCAAAACAAACTGAAATGTACCGTAACATAAGACAATAAGACTTTTAAGAAAGCAGTTTTATTTGTATTATTACTAATTCTGTCATTCAATAAAAATAAAGAAAAATGAACTTTATTTCAAGCATTTTAAAGTCTGCGTTCGTGGATTTGTACTGTGACCACAACTTTTTTCCGGAATTAGTATAACTAATTTGATAAATTATCAGTGCATAAAAATGTTGAACTAAAAATTCAGTGTATGTATTATGATTATGACATAATATACTAATTGGGGTGTCGGAGGGTGTGCGTTAATTACGTTACATATTGTATATACTAATACTAAACTACAGGTATAGTATCCCAGTTTATATACCAGGGCCGTTCACCATTGTAAATTTCTGTGCATGTAATAATTATGTTTATCAATAAAAAAATTATATATTAATTATTGTTATTCTTGTTGATTTTTTTTTAATTGATCAAATCGTTCAGAAATTACAAGATCACTAACAGACGTACTAATGATGTTTTAATATACAAGGATAAAGATATGAAAAAACGTATTTGATTCCTAGAGTATACATAAAATAATTTAAGCCGGATTGGATAACCAATAAATAGGACATGTCGCCATTAATAAAAAAAATAACTTATCAAAGTTTTGCCCTCGGTTTTACATCGATTAATGGCCGACAACGTAAACAGAGTCGTAGCGTTTTGTGGGAGGATTGTCCTACCCTTATCCACCCAGTGGGCCTTTCGCCTCCCCTCTACGTCACCTTATTGTGACATTTTCCTTTTGTCGTCCCCTTCGAAGTTTAATAATGTCTTAAAGAAACGAATTTTGAAAATTAAAATAAAAATCACAATATCAAGTTTTCTAACATTTGTATAAATTATTTTTGTTTATCATAAATTAAAGGTAAACGTATTTTAAAAAATTTTTAAGCTTGTAGATTTAACGTATGTATTTTTTTTAAATGATATGGTAACTAATGAGCTAACAATCTAATTGGATCTACACAATTGAATATAAATCGTAAGTGTACAAAACATCAATGTGAGCGGAAGTCTAGCCATGAAATATATTTTGTGAACTTACTTTCACGGAAGTAACGATCATAAGATGTTAATTATTTTAAATTCGATTTAAAAAAAGTATAAATATCGTTATGTGCTAAAACAATTGAAATTTGTGTTTTTTTTTATTTTGTACCACGTGTTTTTTATCATATTCTTGCATTGTCATCCGAATTTGAGCTATAAGTATACAACATTTTAAGTTTCCTGCTCATCGGGGAGTTAGTTTAAACCTACGAGCACTTAATTAAACTCAATAACTAAATTCCATCCGGAACGACAAACAGATAGATAAACAAGAAAGTGATTTAATAAAAACGTGGTTAAATTCGTTTTCGTTTTGTTAGAATTGTAAGAATCCAGAATCATTGGAACACATTTCAAAATGGCTAGAGATCCGATAACGATAGCCGGAATAACGTGTCGAAACATAGCTTGGCGTATATCCAAATTACCGGACGATAGCTTAACTGCATTTTCTAAGGAAAACCCTTTATAAGCTGCTGCAGTTAGGCTTTAATAGAGGAGAGCTTAATGCGGCTGTTTTGAATACAGCGGGGTGGCGGGTGGTTCTCCCCAACTCGTACATATTAGGGGAGATTCGGGTAGTTCGCTGGTGGTGTGGTGGTGATGAACGGCCGAGTCTCGCCGACATCAGGCCATTACGTTTTGTTTGATATTGATATATTGTTCGTTGGCAGTGTAGGAGCATAATGAATAAATTTATATTTTGACATTAGATTCGTGCTTGAGTTTTTTTTTTTACTTACTATTTTGTCTTTGATTTAAAAAAAAAAACGAACTAGTTCTTTTTCACATCGCACTGTTGTACAAAAAATATTAAGTCTTTATACAGATACACTAATATAAATATAAGTTTTTGGTATATAAATTTGTTCCAATAGACCAAAACTAAGTTAACGAGTTGACGAGGTAAATATATTTAAAAAGATTGAAAAAGATAAACAAGTTCTGTTGGTATCACTCTGCACAGTTACTCGTTTGTCGTAAGAAAAACGTGCGTTGTAAATTTTCCATCTTTTAGTTACTTATTATGACATATATAAGGATAAAAGTTTTTTTTTAGACTAGTTAAGTTTCCTTTTTCTTTGGGGGTAATTTAAAGAAAGACTTGTCGTATCATGGTCTGGTTATAGTAGATACGAACATCTACGCTTAAAATTTCTAACACTAAAATATTTTTTCCACGCAAGATATACATCACTTGCCAACAAACAAAAGCAATTTAAAAAGATAATAATGTCTATGACACTAACTTGTATTAATCTCAGTTTTTACGTTATTTAAGTACAAAATTCTAATCAATTTGTTTTTGTAGCTCAGTGTGAGGGCACTCGATGAAATTACACCGCTATAAATAGATGCTGGCCGTGTGGTAGAAACCACGGCGACAGAAAATGATGCGGATCCAAGAACGCCCCGTGCCAACAATGGAGTTATTTTGTTTTCTTTGATTAGTAAACCAGGCGGCCTCGTGTCGTGGCGACCGATCACGACTGGCTCTCATGCCCTTCCTTCCCTCGGTGCATTCGTTTACGAGTTGCAAGTTGCCAGCTTTTTAACGGAAAATGTCATTCTTACGTCTTTTTATTAAAAGTAGGTTTTCGTGTAATATAATTTAGTATGTGTCTCGATAAAATTTTATTTAGCCAAGACGTGAAATCTGCCAAATCAGAAAGCAACGACACAGGCTATCCATTGCAGAAAGACTTATGACTAAAGTATGGATTTACTGGATTTTATAAACAAAAACTAAAGATTTTCTAGGGATAAATGCACATGCCTTCACTGAAATATTTAATAACGGGGCAAAATTATTAGTATTGTCTTTATTTTCAGGTAATTTACATGACACAATCTCACGGGCTTAATACCGAGAAACTATAGAAAAATGATTAATAATTGATATAGAATTTCTTAGTTTTGTTCTTTAAAGAATTCTCAAAAATTCCATACCCGCATTTATTTAATATCAGGTGGTCGCAAACGTTACAGAAGATAAACGCGGGAACTTATTCGTAAGTGCGATTGCTCACACTATTCTCGATAATCAAGCATAAAAAGTACGAAGAATAACAATGGGCCATGCGAAGGCAGGAAGTGCGGCTGTGCTCGCAGCTGTCTCGCATGTAGACACCGCCTTCGACGCACAAATCGACCGGTTTTAATAAACGCTTCTGTCGCCGGTCCACGTGTATTATACTTATTAACGCCTCGTCTGATATGACTATGTAGTTTATGCACTTTTCGCATCAACAAACACGCGTTCAAAGATTTGGTTAAAATTAACCAAAAAAATAAAATTTATCTGTGACGGCCACCCATAAGTCCATGGCAACACTGGCCGGCGTACGACCAATCATTATGACGCTTCGTGTTAAACAATCCGCGTCGTATCCGTAAACAAATTGTGGAAAATAAATGTATAGAAGAAAAAATTAAGTTGAAAATGGAGAATAAGAAAGAAAAACTAAAAAGGAAGCTTATGGATCTTTTATTTTCTTCATCAGAAGGTATGTTTACTCGTAGATTCTTAAGAATAAGTCGTGCTTGGGCGTCGCCATTTTAAAAATGCTAAATGCGTCATTTGTTTTATCACAACAAATAGTATCTTAAAGGATGAAAATATTGGCCTTAGCGATAGGACGAGCGCCTATACCTGGTCAAAAAACTGTTTTGTTTACTATAAGCAGTTTATTTCATATTATGTAAGTCATACGGTACTACGAGCGAGTACATGTGATTTCATTATTGTATAATAAATGTATCTAACGGTACTACGAGCGAGTACATGTGATACTTTTTTCATACTTTCTTACAAAAAGTCACGAAATATTGCCATAAATTTTCATTAATATTATCATACGGTACTACGAGCGAGTACATGTGATAAATTAATTCTGCAATATTTTCGCAGATGAAGCTGAAATATCCGTTAAAAAGAGAAGGAGAATAATTGTGGAAAGCGATTCTGAAGAAGATGTCGAAAATATCTTGCCCTCTTGTAGTAACAATAGTAACAATAACGATAATTTTCCAAATTTTCTTCAAAAAATGGGCCATGTGGAGAAAATCGATAAAACTATTATTATAAATAGTGAACTAAAAAATATGTGGAACACACTTCTTACGCAAGGGTTAGACGAAAAATCAATTGATGAAATTTTAAAAACATTTCCATTAATTAAAGATTGCCTTACGTTACCTCCAAACCTCAATCCAGAAATAAAGATTACCCTGTCACCCCAGGCATTAAAAAGAGATGAACACATTTGCCATAAACAAAATATTATTGGATATGTAATCTGTGGCCTCACACAAATATTAACAAAAATGTTGGAGAAGGACACAGAAAGTGACACAACAGAATACATAGGAAACTGCATTAGACTATTATGTCATGTACATTACAAAGAGTCTCAGACTCGAAGAGCAGTCATTTTACCTGGTGTAAATAAAAAACTTAAGGAAACCTTAGAAAAAACACTGATCACCAATTATTTATTTGGAAATGATATCACTAATATATTAAAGGAAAACAAAAACTTAGAGAACTCTGCTAAGGACCTGAAGCCTTTAAACAATTGGGGCCCGTCCTCGAACAGGAAGCAGGGCGGGCGAGACAATACCAGACAATACAACACCAGACAAGACAACACCAAGCGGCCAAAAAACAAGCCTTCGACAGTGAAGTATACTATGACGCAACGCCATCAACATCAACGACAACAATTAAGATCGTTGACAAGGCATCCCTCCAGGACAACACAACCACAGCGGCATCATCGGGAATAGAGGCAAGCTATGCAGGCAGATTGTCTAATTACTATAAAAATTGGTGTTTTACAAAAAACACAATTGTGTTAAATTGGGTAAAAAATGGATATTCTATACCATTGTCTAACATAGTATACCAATCTCAGGTACCTCAAAACAACTCTTTTTCTGAAATTGAAAAGCAAAAAATTTCACAATGTTTAGATAAATTAATAAAAATAGGTGCAGTTACACTAGAAACACAGCTATTAAAATATCAATATTTTTCAAAAATATTTATAACTCCAAAACCAAATGGTTCATCTAGATTTATTTTAAACTTAAAAAAATTTAATAGATTTGTACCAACATTGCATTTTAAACTAGAAGATATTAGGACAGCATTACATCTTATTGATAGACAATGTTTCATGGCATCGCTTGACCTAAAAGATGCTTATTTTTTACTTCAAATACATGAAGAATCTAAAAGATATTTAAGATTTTATTTTAATAAAAATCTGTATCAGTTTAATGTCCTACCTTTTGGTTTATCCACAGCACCTTATGTTTTTAACAAAATAATGAGACAAATAGTTTTCTACCTTAGATCAAAAGGGATAACCTTGGTAAATTATCTTGATGATTTTCTTTTTATATCACCAACTGCCAATGAATGTAAAAAGGATGTATATACTGCCTGTCAATTTCTCAAATCATTAGGATTCATTATAAATTATGAAAAAAGTCAATTACATCCTAGTAAAGAGTGTAAATTCTTAGGGTTCATATTAAATAGTGATAATTTTACAATAAGTATTCCACTAGATAAAAGAAATAAAATTAACTCTAAATTGCACTCCATTATACAAAAAAGAAAATGTACCATCAGGGAGTTTGCATCTCTCTTGGGTTCCTTAACATCAATTTGTCCCTCCGTCCCATATGGATGGATGTACACCAAAATTTTGGAAAGAAAGAAGTATATAGCTTTAAAAAATTCTAGGGACAATTATGAATCCAAACTAAAGATCAATCAAGGCATTATAGAAGACCTATTGTGGTGGAAAAACATAATCTTCTCATGTTCAGCCCCAATTAAGCGACAAAAATATAAATTCGAAATATTTTCTGATGCATCTAATACTGGGTGGGGAATAGTATGCGGCCAGAAAAAATTACATGGAAACTGGTCAAAAAAGGAAATAAAATATCATATAAATTACTTAGAACTTTTAGCAATTTATTTTGCATTAAAATGCTTTGCCAAAAATGAGAAAGATTGTAATATATTAATTCGCTCAGATAATACTACAGCAATTTCATATGTAAACAGAATGGGTGGAATACAATTCCCACACTTAAATTCCTTATCTAGAAAAATATGGCAGTTTTGTGAAAAAAGGAAACTACATATTTTTGCTTCATACATACCTTCCAAAGAAAATATAGAAGCTGATGGACAATCTAGGTTAATTAATATAGAAACTGAATGGGAACTAGCCTCATATGCCTATGAAAAAATTATTACACAACTAGGAATACCTGAAATTGACCTTTTTTGCTTCCCATGCAAATAAAAAATGTGATAAGTTTATTTCATGGAAAATTGAACCAGATTGTTTTTCAGTAGATGCTTTTACCATAGATTGGACAGGACTTAAATTTTATGCTTTCCCACCTTTCTCAGTAATTTTGGGTTGTTTAAAAAAGATTCAAGAAGATCGTGCTGAGGGTATTGTGGTAGTACCAAATTGGCCAGGACAAGCATGGTACCCCCTCTTTATGAGTCTGTTAAGCTCAAAGCCTGTTTATTTAAAACCCAATCCAAAATTACTTTCATCCATTTTCAGGTCTTGTCACCCGCTACACAAGAGCCTTTCACTAATTGCAGGGATGTTGTCAGCAAGATCTACTTAAAAAAAGGGATACTCTCTGGAATGTGTAAATATTATCATAAATTCTCTGTCAAAAAACACTCTACAGCAATACAGTTCTTGCTATCAACATTGGTGGAAATTCTGTCAAACAAATAAAGCTGACCCATTGTCTGAATCAGTTCCCTTATTATTAAAATTTTTAACTGAAAAGTTTAAAAATGGTGCTTCTTATGGCACCTTAAATAGTATAAGATCAGCTTTATCATTACTTTTGGATAGTGAATTAAGTGCAAATAGAGATATTAATAGGTTTTTTAGAGGTATCTTTAAATTAAGACCTAACCAACCTAAATATCAAGAAACTTGGGATCCAAGTCTAGTACTTGATTATGTAAGCAATTTATACCCAAATACAGAACTAGATTTAAGTATTTTGTCCAGAAAATTACTAATATTATTAGCCTTAACAACAGCACAAAGATTACAAACTTTTTCTTTCATAACAATAGATAACATTACTATTACTAATGATTGCATAAAAATCAAAGTTCCCCAATTAATCAAAACCTCCAAAATAAATGGTCTTCAACCTTTATTGACCTTAAAGTTTTTTAATGAAAATGTGAGTATTTGCCCTGCAAAAACATTATGTGATTATTTATACGCCACAAGACCACTACGGAAGAACACAAATAATCTTTTTATCTCCATTAAAAAACCTCATACTCCTGCTTCAACCCATACACTCAGCAGGTGGATAAAAGATGTTTTATTTGAGGCTGGAATTGATGTATCTATATACTCTGCACATAGCACACGACATGCCTCTACATCGGCAGCATACCGAAAAGGCCTTAATATAAACTTGATTAAATCAACAGCCGGGTGGTCCCACAGGTCTAAAAATTTTGCCATATTTTATAATCTACCTTTGGAAAATAATGAAGACTTTGGTGAATCCATCCTTCGCAATCAATGAGTCAAATTATTATAATTATAACTGTGAATTGTTATAAATAAACATTATTATTAGAAAACATTTTCATTATTTCGCAAGATCTTTCAACATCTACATAGTCATATCAGACGAGGCGTTAATAAGTATAATAGCATGATCAAAGTAACTTACCTGTAAGTGAACTTCGATCACTATTATACGCAGTTAACGCCTCGTCTGAAGGTTCCCTCCCATTTGTTTTCTTTGAATTTCCCACCCTGCTTCATAATGAAAATGGCTGGGAGTTCTTTAAACTTAATGATTGGTCGTACGCCGGCCAGTGTTGCCATGGACTTATGGGTGGCCGTCACAAATAAATTTTATTTTTTTGGTTAATTTTAACCAAATCTTTGAACGCGTGTTTGTTGATGCGAAAAGTGCATAAACTACATAGTCATATCAGACGAGGCGTTAACTGCGTATAATAGTGATCGAAGTTCACTTACAGGTAAGTTACCTTGATCATACTAATATTAATTATTATTCATTTATTAATTTATAAATATATATTCAATCACAAAATCCTTCAATCTAAACCTCACATAAACAATACATTACCAAATACATACATCCGGCAGTCGGGTAAAAATATCATATTTCTAGAGATGTTTATTTGACATACGGTACCGTGAATGTGACGTCATCGAGCGAGGTGCACAGGTTTGTGACCGTGTTGTATCTACAGTTGTTACAGTCACGGCTGTATGCAACTTGTCGATGTAGTTGCGTAACTTCATTCTTCACAGTCTTATGACACAGAATATATCTATGGGTGTATGAAATTTTTAATGT